GCTCCACCACACCCGGCACTTTTCCCTGCAACCGCAGGAAGTGCTACACCTGCCCCCATACCTCCTCCCTCACCCCCATCCCAGGCCCCAAGAAGACTTTCCACATCAAGCAGATGTTCACCTGCACATCTGCCAATGTGGTATACTGCATCCGCTGTACCCGGTGTGGCTTCCTCTACATCGGGGAAACCAAGCGGAGACTCGGGGACCGCTTTGCAGAACACCTACGCTCGGTTCGCAACAAACAACTGCACCTCCCAGTCGCGAACCATTTCAACTCCCCCTCCCATTCCTCAGACGACATGTCCATCCTGGGCCTCCTGCAGTGCCACAACGATGCCACCCGAAGGTTGCAGGAACAGCAACTCATATTCCGCTTGGGAACCCTGCAGCCCAATGGTATCAATGTGGATTTCACAAGTTTCAAAATCTCCCCTCCCCCTACCGCATCCCAAAACCAGTCCAGCTCGTCCCTGCCTCCCTAACCTGTTCTTCCTCCCACCTATCCCCTCCTCCCACCTCAAGCCGCACCTCCATCTCCTACCGACCAACCTCACCCCGCCCCCTTGACCTGTCCGTCCTCCCTGGACTGACCTATCCCCTTCCTAACTCCCTACCTACACTCACCTTTACCGGCTCCATCCCCGCCTCTTCGACCTGTTTGTTTCCTCTCCACCTATCCTCTCCTCTATCCCTCTTCTATCCGCCTCCCACTCTCTCCCTATTTATTTCAAAACCCCCTTCCCCTCCCCCTTTTCTGATGAAGGGTCTAGGCCCGAAATGTCAGCCTCTCTGCTCCTATGATGCTGCTTGGCCTGCTGTGTTCATCCAGCCCTGCACCTTGTTGTCTCGGATTCTCCCGCATCTGCCGTTCCTACTATCTCTAAATTTATGCCTGATGGTTTTGATAACATCAGGCCAATGCTATTGTAAGAAATTGATATGTCATCAAGGGTATAAAAGAAGAGGGCAGTCGGATACAGACAGGAGAGCGAACTATCATCTGCCAGAGTTAGCAGCTCTTGGCTCTCAAGAAAGAATCCTTGGCTTTTGCAGTCTTCTCTAAGTTTTAGAGAAAGCACCATCTAAAAGAGTAAAGTTACCCAAGTCACAACTAATTAATATTCCTGACAGAAGAATCAACAGAAAAAGTGTTCCTGACAGAAGATTCGATGGAGAAGGCACAGGACAGAAGACACATAACCTGGACGTAATTTTGAGAGACTACATTTTTTTTAAAATTTCATATAAGTAGGACTTGTATTTATTGGGACAATATACCATTAGAATCTTGTTTTATTCGAGAAAGTTAGTCGTTAGAAGTGGTTTATTCGTTTTGTTAATAGTTTAATTAATTTGTTCACTGTTAGGGTTAAATAAATAAATTGTTGCTTGTTGATTTTAAAATTAATGTCAAAGATTTATTTTATTCAACCACTGGGAGTTGTTGAGAAGCAGGTTACTTCACTTTTCACATTCATTTTACAGATTATAACGCGAGGTGCTCCTCTTTTGGCGTTTCAGTTTTAGCTCCAGGGGTAGGGGTTGGGGGAGTCAACCACCATTTTAGAACAATGAAGATGTATTAGGGTTTTTTTTTTATTTCTCTGACTATTATGTATCTGTTCAGCCATGTCTAAGAGGAATAATTTCAACTTCTGGATATTCACTGTCTTGACCGAAAGCCCCCCGATATTACTAAAATATCATTGAGTCTAAAAGTCAGGCAATGAGCCAAGTTAAATCCTAATTTGATAGGTTATACAGTCAATCAAAATTCTAGTCAATGTAAACAGAGTAGTGAAGAGGGCCTTTGATACACTTGCCTTTTTACATTGGTTATAGGACTTGTGAGGTCATGTTGTAGGTGTGCAGGGTATTGGATAGGCCACTATTGGAATACTGCATGCAATTCTGGTCTCCCTGCGATAGGAAAGATGTGTGAAACTTGAAAGAGTTAAGTAAAGATTCAGAAGGTTGTTGCCAGAGTTGGAGGGTTTCAGCTACAGAGAGAAACTGAATAGACTGGGCCCATTTTCCCTGGGGCATCGAAAGCTGAGGGTGACCTTACAGAAGTTTATAAAATCACGAGGGACATGGATATGGGTGAATATTCAAGAACTTTTTTTCCCAGGGCAGGGGAGGCCAAAACTAGAGGGCACAAATGTAAGGTGAGAGGGGAAAGAATTAAAAAGAAATTAAGGGACAACTTTCTCAAGCAAAACGTGATGCATATATGGGATGAACTATCAGAGGAAGTGGTGGAGGCTGTTACAATTACAACATTTAAACTGCATCTAGATAGCAATATTAATAGGAAGGGTCTAGAGAGATATTGGCCTAATGCTGGCAAATGGGAAGAGACTTATTTAGGATATCGGGTCAGCATGGATGAGTGTCCATTCCCAGTTTGAACATATCAATGGCACTCTGACTCCAAGTGCCAAATGTATGATTCAGATCAGCCAACTGCAAAGATCCCAACTATCACAGGTGCCAGGCTAAAGATATTTCCATTCAGGTCACGTGATATCAGAAACAGTTTGAGACACTGAACATTGCAAAGTCATTGGACCCTCACAACGTTCCAGCAATAACACTGATGAACTGCGCTCCGGAATCTGCCACTGCTTACCTAGCTGCTCCAGGACAGTTGCAACAGTGGCATCTACAGGACAATATGGATAATTACCTGAGTGCGTCCTGTACAGATTTTGCAATCATTGCCAAATCAGTCTACTCACAATCATCGGGAAAGTGATGAAAGCTGGCAGCAACACAACTATCAAACAGCACTTGCTCCAGAATAACCAGCTCAGGTCACTTAAATTAAGTTTTTCCAGAGCCACTCAGCTCTTGGCCTCAATAAAGCCTTGGGCCAAAAATGAAAGAAAGCTTTCCCTAGGTGAAGTGATAGTGACTGACCTTGGCATCAAGCCATACTTGACTGTTTCTTGTATCAAGGATCCTTAGAACTGCTAAAATCAATGGAAATCAAGTAGAAAACACTTCACAAGTTGGAGTCATTCTGAGCAAACACGTTGACGGCCATGCTTGTTGGAAATTAATCAGCTCAGCATGACGGAATCCTTGCAGGTGTCCTAGCCCAACCAACTTTTAGCTGTTCCATTGTTGATCTTCTATCGATCATTCATTCAGAAATTTTCGTTGAGGATTGAATACTGTTCAGTACCACAACTCGTCAGATACTCATGATGTTCATGTTGAAATGCATTACCATCATTGAATGCTTCACAATCAACATCCCAGGGATTACCATTAACTAGTAATTGAATAGGTTGGCACGGTGGGAAGGTGGGAAGCATCGCTGCCTGACGGCATCAGAGACTTGAGTTCAATTCCAGCCTCGGCTGACTGTTGGTGTGCAATTTGCACATTCTCCCCGTGGGATCCTTTTGGGCGCTCTGGTTTCTTACCACAGTCCAAAAATGTGTAGGCGAGGTGCATTAGTCATGGGAAATGCAGGGTTACATGGATAGGGTATCGGGTTGGGTCTGGATGGGATCCTGTTCGGCAGATCAGTGTAGATTGAATGGGCCAAATGGCTTGCTTCTACACTGTAGGGATTCCACTCGAATTTCCACACTGAAACATCCATTTAAATAATTAGTCTATAGCAGCAATTCAATGATTATGAATCTTGCATCGAGTAATTCATCCCCTGTTTTCCGACACTCAGATTACTATCAACGAGGCACAAGTTAGAACTCTTTCTTACCTGGATGAATGCAGCTCCAACAAAACACCAGGACTTTGAGAATATCCAGATCAAAGTAGCCCGTGTGATTGGTATCACATTCAGAAACGTTCACTCCCTCTACACAGCTGATCCACAGCAGCAGTTTGTACCATTTATTAGGCCCATTGTGGAAATTCGTTAAAGCACCTTTAGCAGCGCCTTCCAAACATGCGACAATTACAACAAGAAAGAAAGAAAAGCAAGCAGTACTTGCAAGTTCCCCTCCAAGATATGCATCGTCCTTATTTGATATTGTATGAGCGCGTGTTTACTGCATCTGCCTCAAAGTTTTAGAACTTCCTCCCTAAATGCATTGTAAGTGTACAAAAGACAAATGACGGCGGAATTTAAGCAAGCAGCTCGCTACCATCTTCTCAAGAACAACTAGGAATGTACAATAAATGCCAGTCAGCTTGCGGAGTTCACATCTCTTGAATGATTTTGAAAGATTGCCACTGTAGGGCTGCTTATCGTGGAGATACAACATCCTGGGCTTCAATATTGATCTTGAAATGTTCAAAGGAACTCATCTGAAAATGTTCTCATCACTACACGTAACTATTACATTTGGAGGCCCAAGTTCCCTTGCATCTGATTATCAGAATCTAAAGAGCTAACACCAAAGATGACGAAAATAAATCTTGGCATGTTCTCAACCATCGAATATAAGAGTTGTATGAAGCACGGTGCGATGTCATGCATATCTAATTTAGAAACACAGCTCGTGTTCAGCTTTGTCAACAGAGACAATCCATCGTTTTGTGATATGTTTTGCAAGTCTTGTCAAGCCAAGTTGCCCACTTTTTTCGCATCAAATTCATAAATCCTTGATTCCTAGAAATGTTGTCTGTATTAAGCCTAATTAAAAAGGGTCTAGCTATAAGACTAGTTGCTGCAGTTGCTGTTTGAGGTACTTTGCATTGTTCTTGGCCAATAACAAGCAAAGTTTCACAGACAAACAGACTTGAAGAATTTCTGCTATTCTCCATATTCAGAAAGCATGCTTTTAATGCATCTTTGTGTTTATTGTTGAAATGCTAATTTATAAAATGATTATCGAAAAACTGTGTGGCATACAAGACAAGACGAGACAATCAATTTTGGAATATTTGAACAGTCTAAGAGAAATGTAAAGGTGCACTATGATCACTAACAACATCCAAAATGAATGTGATAAATTTCGTGACTTCCTTCATTAGAAATCCTCTCAATATAGTGATCTGATGACCTGCCTCACCTGGATTGCATGACATTGGTTATGATAGATATGTGATGGGCCATGGTATGTAGTAACATGAAAGCTGGAGAGTAGTTGTTGAAAGGAGCAGACACGAGTTTTGTCTCCCTGCTGTCATGCGTTCCGATTTACAATTGAGCTCTGCAAACAGATTCAACATGATATGATAACAATTTTAGAATATATACATATGCACGAGTTAGAAGGTGGAGTAGGTGACTCAAGCATTCCATGACATTCAGGTAAAAACAAAATACTGCAGATGCTGGAATTCAGAAATAAGCATATAAAGTACTGGAGGATCTCTTAAAGCCCGGTAGCATTTATAGAGAGTGAATCAGAGTCAACGTTTCGATTCTCATCTGATTCTTCATCAGTCATAGCTAATCTGCATGTTATCTTTCCAGGTTTCGGATTGCCCTTGTTAAACTTTCAGCCCCTTGATTAACAATAATTGATGTATCTCTGCCTGAAACATGATCAAGGATTCTGCTTCCACTACCTTTTCAGGAAGAGAATTCCAAAAACTTGCGACACTTCAAGTAAAATATTTTGCTTCATCTCTGTTTCAAATCAGCAATCCCTGATTTTTAAACTGTGAACCCTTGGTGTAGAGTCTCCCATTAGATGAAACATGCTCTCCATGTCTACCTTACCAAGATCCCCCAGGATGTGAAATGTTTGAAGCAAATCACCTCTCACTTTTCCAGTTGCAGAGGGCGCAATTCTAGCCTGTCCATACCATTCTCATATGATACCCCACACCCATTAAGTGCTTTCATTCAGTCATTTTTATCAACCTCTTACAACATATTTATCTTCTTCCTTATATAAAGTGACCAATACTGTGCAAGATAGAGTCCTACAACGCTGTACGATTGAATTATAACTTCCCAACGTTGGTGTTCAACCCCCACCACTCCACGATAATTTCTTCCACAATTTACCTTCCTAATTATCCTTGTGTCCTTGGTAAACTTGACAACTATAATTTATCTCTCTTAATTCATGCAATTGAAGTAAATTTTAAACAACTGAGTCTCAGCACTTAAACCTGTGAATCAGTATTTGTTTCATCAATCCAATCGAAAAAAAATGTATTCTTCCTATTTTCTGTTTCCTTATACGCTTCTAATCTTCCCTTCATGTCAACATGATACGTTCTACAGAATGAATTATTATTTTCTTCAATAACCTTTGATATTTCACCTATTCAAATGCCAACTGGAAATCTAAGTTCTGCATACTTACTGGGTTCCCTTCATCCACAGAACATGTTAACTCCTCAAAGAACTACAATAGATTGTTTAAATATAATTTCCCATTTAACTAAAACATGTTGTTTCCACCAGATTAATTTGGACTTTTACAATTACTGAGCGATACCTTCTTTAATCATTACTTGTAACATTTTGGATATGTAAGTCTTGTAGATATTGCCTTTCTGTCACCCTCTCTTTTGAATGAAGAAGTCATATTCCCTGTCTTAAAATCTAAAGGGACCATCAGAGAATCAAGAGAATTTTGAACAAAAATTAAATCAAATTTGTGAAATTAGTTTTGGAAAATACGTCAACTTGTGTTAACAACGTAGAATAATGTTCTTGAGGGCGGAATACTTTTCTGTCCAGGGCTCAATTTTTCTCGTGATAGTGATTTTCCTGAATTCCTCCTTCCCTTACATTTTCTGATTATAACCATTCATGGGATGTTACCTGTGCCCTCTATTTAGTAAACTAACGCAAAGTACCTGGTGAATCTGTGTATCGTTTCTTAACTTCCGTTTATTAATCCTTCAATCTCACTTTCTACAGGACCAACGCTCACTTTGCAAATTATTTTAAACTATTGATAGAAAGCGTTACTATTTCTGCACGGTTGTCTTTCACACGCTATTATTTCCATCTATATTAGGCTTTTGGCCATTATTAGCTGTAATAAATTACATCCGGCATTTTAACATGCTTCCAGTGTTTGCACAACTGTGTGCTGTTTCTTTTTTAGCGTGGTATTATCCTCTTTTCTACTTAATCAATCTATAATTTTTCATACTCGTTTGAATGTATCTATTGTAAGTGTCATGAAATAGTACATTAAATGCCTGCCGTATCTCTATTCACCTATCCTTTAAACTTAACTTGCAAATTCACATTGGCCAGCTCTGCTATCTTGAGCACCATAATGTCCAAAATTAAGTTTTAGAAGTAGTCGCCAACCGATTCCTCGCTCCCTTCAACAGACATGTAATTTCAGTCATTCTATGTTTGCTACTATCTTGGGCGTCTTCTCGTGAAGACTATGAATTAATTCTATTTTATTAACAAAACCTAGATCTAGTTTGGACTGGTGTTCACTCAGCTTCAGAATATACTAAAAACGTGTCCCAAATACCTTCTATGATCCCCTCACCTTGGTTATCTTTTCCCAGTTGGCTTTTCCATTCAGTATGAAAAGTAAAGTATCCATTGATTTGTGCTGTTCCTTTCCAACAATCTCTCACTTTTTCTTCCCTTTTCGCAACCGAGCAGTATGGTTACGTTTAGAGTCTGCATACCTCTTCCAAAATGACTTTGACTCTATCACTTCTTGTTTCCATGCAAACTGTTTCCAATCTCGGTTTACTGGACTTACTTCACCGCTGTCTCTTATGCTGATACAATCTTTAACTGAAAAGTCACCCCCTCACATTTTCCAGACATTCTTAAATGGCCTGTACCGAAACGACTGGGCTTCCGAGCTTTATCACCTGATGCTACGTACATTTTTAGTTTATTTCTCGGGTTATTTTATTGTTTTAAATATTACATTCAATCAGACATCAAGAATTTAGTTATATCAGTTTACTCTCTTTGCAAATTCGAGTTTTATTTGTTGATTGAATCGTACATTCACGGTCTCGCTCTCTTCCTGGCTGTCGCAGTCTGTTTCTGCCCTCTTGTTTTTCTATTTGACCTTGACCTTGACCTTGTCTTTGCTTTACAGCGTCATCACATATTTGATCATTGGTCCCCAGTTAATTCAATGTTTAATTTAAAATCCCTTCTACTTTCCTAGCTATGTGGACAACGAAAAGACTAGGCTATGCACAGCAGAGGTAAAGTACAGGTGAGTACAAATCCCACATTTCCACAGAACTGGAAATTTTGCCGCTGAAAGTTCCTTTGAAGCAACGAGCAGACGTCTCAAACGGTCGCAAAAGGCTGGAACACAACGGCTGGAATCAGACTCTGTAACTTTGGAGTAAACTGAAATTCCCACATTCTGAGATTCTGTGGCACATCAACTCCACTCCCATAATTAAAATTTTTAAATGATTGTGTACGTTTTCACGAGTTTATGTTACTTTACACATATTCCTAACGTTATCTTCACCACCAACTGTTATACTCGGATAAAACCTAGGAATAGAAATTTTGTAATCACTTACAAGAGTCTCACCAAACAGCTAGCTACTGTCTTTGCAGCAGACCATGACCAATTCCTATCAGTTACAATGAATCTGTCTCTATCTAAATGTCTCAGGCCGCTCAACTTGCCGGTTCCTCAAGGTGTGGCTGACGACCAGTCACACGTTATCTCCTCGCCCACTTTTCTTGGTGACACCTGCAGACAGTTGCTAGCTGTTCAATTTGAATGTTCCTGAAGTTGGTGCCAACTTATCTCGTGTTCCTCACATGTTTACTAAAGTAGGTGAAGGTGTCTATCGCAGGATCCTCACCTCAGTTGCTTATGAAGGTGATGATAATTATCTATCTCAGTATCCTCACACAACCTGCCCTTCTCGCCAATGTTGAATCTCTGTCTAGTAACGTTAAAATCAACAGAATTTAAAGGACTGTATGGCTATTCAGCTATTAGTATATTATGAGACAGTTTAAACGTTCGGAAAGAGTAATATATTTGGTTAGTTGCAGCATATTTTTATTTTGTTCGCCTTAAGATAACATTTACATCTCAACATACTTGTCATGCATGTGGGCTTTCCTCTATTATTCATCACTTGCTATGTCTTCTTCTGAGTTATAACTTTAAAATTTTACAGTTTGCCTCCACTCCATGGCATCCACATTTCTACCTTAAGCTCTGTATGTTAGAAAATTTTGTATCCCACAGTAAAACATTCTTTTCCATGCTTTCACTGCTTCTTTTCTGTCTAAGTTAACAGTATGAATATAATTCATGCCAAGAGTCAGATTTATTGACGAATGGGACAAAATTGCAAAATACACCATTGAACACTTACATCTCCAAAATGCCGAGGCACAACGATCTAAATAAGAGTAATTTTGACTGCAAACAGGAAAGCACTTCCAACTTTGTCTTTTGGATTAGCAATGTTCGGGACCGTTAGAGAATCAAGTTGGAGACTGCGACGAATCAGATTTCTTTGGCTATGTTTACTAATGGAAGTGATTCATTCTGAATTAGCTTCTACTGCATTAATTTCTAAGCTATTACTGTTCACGAATATATTTTCTACATTAACGTTTAAGATCGATTAAAACCTGCTGATCCAACGTCGTCAAGGTCATTCTTAACCTGATATGCTTCAGAAATGCTTTTAAATACTTTCCTTCACAATGTCTTCATCAAAAATCTTAAGCTCCAACGAAGTGTTGAATTACAAAAAAAACTTTATAAATTAAAAGCAAACTCTTGTTCCATTTTGCACTCATCTGAAAAAAACCTTATTTTTAAAAATAATTTAACAAGATGACCACATCATTCAGTAATGGCAGAAATGACAAAATTATGTCCATTTGATCTTTGCTTTTAGCTCAATTTATCCCTTTCAACATCAATGTACGCAATCAAGGAATAAAATCTAAGAACATCACGCAAGAGATATGAGTTTTAAAATGTCTAACTGCTTCACATATTTTTAATTAAAATCTATAGTTTTAACGGAACAGAGTGACCAGAAATGTTGTAGGCTCATCATCAGCTACATTTCTAATTACCAGCGGAATGTTGGTTTCAAATATTTAGGACTTTGACAACAGGGAAATTACAACAAGTAGGGAGTGAGCTCTTCACTCTAGCGTGAATACAACATGCTCTACTGAAGCCATTCAAAGTATTCGCATCAACCAAACAGGTATGACGATTAATATCTGTACATATCTGAGCAATGTTCATGAGTCCAGGTGCATTTTAATTCTTTTGAGCAATAGATAAACTCCACTCAGCAATAAATTGCTAACGAAAACTTCCAGTTAAAAATTATTACTTTACTACAACGCTGCCATGAACATTAAAATCATTAAGAGGTAAAGTTACTTCGCAAGGCTTCAAAAATAAGAAATCACTTTTGGACGATGCTGGAGATAAACAGACAGTGTACTGATTCACTTCAGAAATGGGGAGTGTCTGAAGCCCACCAGGATAACTAATCAATTCTTTCGGGACAGCTCTCCGATTAAAAGCAGCATTCGACTCCCTACGCCTACAGCAACAATAATTTGTGGACTCATAATAATTTGAATTCCTGGCTTGTTTGCACCTCAGTACCACCAGGAAAATTATGATTACAAGAAACATAAAGGATGTGGAAGCAAACAAGATGATTAAATAAACATTCAGATTCGAAAAATGTTCTGGATTTCTGGCTTGGTGACTATGCACAGCGAGTTTTTCTGTGTCATTGGGTATGATTAAAAAGTAGATTGTAGACGTGCTGGAGAGACTGGGCTGTCCATTATCCTGCACCAAGATAACTACTCTTTGTACTGTGGAGTCGTAGTTCTGAAAACGTCGGACTGCTTTTATTTCTCCAGTGAGAAGGCCGACACTGAGGAGACTGGGATCAGTGGCTTCAAGAATTTTGAAGGAAAGCCGCATGTTCTGCCCTGAATCCGCATCGGTTGCGATTACCTTGGTGACCAAATTCCCCGGATATAGCGATTGACACAGAATCTTCACAGCTGACGAAACATTCCACGCTGAAGGCGAAATGATAAGTGGAGCATTGTCATTTTGATCCAGAATAATAACATCCACAATGGCAGTACTGCTCAAGGGGGGTGTTCCACCATCCCGACCTTGAACTTTGAACTGAAAGTTCTTCAGCTTTTCATAGTCAAATGGAAGTATAGCATTAATATTTCCACTCTTCGAGTTAATCGTAATATAAGGAGAGGCAGATCCATGTTTTACTTGCTTTTCCAAGATGGTATAGGACACTTCTCCATTCTGATCCAAATCAGGATCCGAAGCAGTGACAGCAAACATAGAAGCGCCAGGACTATTGTTTTCCATTACAAACACGTTGTACGTGGATTGTGTAAATCTTGGCGCATTGTCGTTTACATCAGAAACTGACACAGTTAAAACCTTCCTGGTGGCTAGAGGCGGAGATCCTTTGTCACGAGCCGAAATTGATATATTGTATGTTGAGGTTGTTTCCCGATCCAAAGCGCTACTAGTGACCAAATTATAGCTGTTCCTTAAAGTCGTCTGTAATTGAAATGGCACATCCATTTCAACATCACATTGAGTTTGTCCGTTTTCATTGGAGTCAGCATCCCTTACACTGATCGTAGCTATCTTGGTCCCAGGTACAGCATCTTCCGGTACTGTACTGGACAATGACGTCACCTCAATCTCAGGGGCATTGTCATTCGTATCGATTAATCCGACGATAACTTTCGCATGTCCTACCATTGGATAGGGACCTTTATCCACAGCTTCTACATCAAGCTCATACATAGCCAATTCTTCAAAATCTAGTGCTCCTTCAACTCTGATTTCTCCGGTTATTGGGTCTAATTTGAAAACCTCACGAGCCTTTTGCGAAGCGTGACTAGTGAAAGAATATGTTAGCTCAGCATTTGTGCCTTCATCCGAATCAACAGCATTGAGTTTTATTACTAAAGTATCTTTTGGGGTGTTTTCTTCAACATTGGTCCTGTATATTTCATGATCAAACACCGGCGCGTTATCATTTACGTCCATAATATAAATTCGAATGCGAGCAGTGCCGGATCTGTGAGGAATCCCACCGTCAACGGCAGTAAGCACAAGGTCAAAAGTTGACTGTTGTTCACGGTCCAAAGGCTTTTCTAATAACAGTTCGGCACTTGTACTCGCATCATTTCTGGTCTGAAATTTTAGGCCAAAATGTTCGTTTACACTAATCTGGTAAACGCTAATTGCATTCGTGCCTACGTCCGAATCGTGGGCGCTCTCAAGAGGCAAACGCGATCCTGGTGCAATGGCTTCAATGATCCGTAAAACATACTCGTCCTTTGAAAAATTGGGTGCATTATCATTTATGTCCAGTATTTCCACTGAAACGCGATGCATTTCCAAAGGGTTTTCGAGCATTATTTGAAAAGAAAGGAAGCAGGCAGAGCTTTTACTGCAAAGCTGTTCTCTGTCGATTCTTGCATTAACAAATAATATTCCACTGTTCGGATTTACCTCCATGTATTGCTTTCTACTGTCAGAGACCAGTCGAATTTTGCGGCCCGACAATTCCCGAACGTTCAGACTCAATTCCTCAGCGATATGCCCGACGAAGGCCCCATACTCCAACTCTTCGGGAATCGAGTAGTGAATTTGCCCCAGAACGAGGTCCAATACACTGTGCAGAAAAATGAAAGACGCCCTGCTGCCGAATATGTTTGCCATTGCTCTTTGTTGATTTTTCAATAATTATTAGTTACCTTGTCACCTCGGATAAAAAGGACAACCTCACATCTAATTTCTAATACTGACGCGAGAGATAGAAATTCTCTTCAGAACACGTCCTTTCAGCATTAACGCGGCGACAGTCTGTCTCTTACATTGTCAATCCTCTCTTTCAATCCCTGCGAGAGGAGGTGGGTAGATCTCGACCAGTGTTTCAGCTCCTTATTGGTAGACAGCGACACAAAGTGTCCCACCCAATAACTGCAACAACTGATCTTAAAGCTGCACTGCTTCAAAAATATTTATTTAGATGTGTGCAATTAAAATCTTCAGACCAGGAAACATAGTTAGTTGTATTTACGGTGTAACCACACGTTAGGCTAACTTAACGTATGGCATACATTGAAAGAATATTATAATTCGTGGAATACATTTATGATGTCATTAATTGTCAATTTTACATTGCATGCACTTTCGTGTGAACAGTGTTAAATTTAGATGATCTGGCATTTTTATTTTTCTTCTAAACTTAAGACATTTATGTGCAGAGTATTTTATTTTTTATTTATTCATTTGTGGGTTGTGGGCGTCGCTGGCTGGCCAGCATTCCTTGCCCATCCCTAGTTTCCTTTGAGAAGGTGGTGGTGAGCTGCCTTTTTGAACCGCTGAGTCCTCCTGCTGTGGTTTGACCCACAATGGTATTAGGGAGGGAATTCCAGCTTTTTCAACCAGCGACAGTGAACGAACGACGATATATTTCCAAGTCATGATGGTGAGTGACTTGGAGGGGAACTTGGAGGTGGTGGTATTCCCATATATCTGCTGCCCTTATTCTTCTAGATGGAAGTGGTAGTGGGTTTAGAAGGTGCTGTAGATCGTACACACTGCTGCTACTGAGTGTCGGTGGTGAAGGGAGTGAATGCTTGTAGATGTACTGCCAATCAAGCGGGCTGCTTTGTCCTGGATGGTGTCAAGCTTCTTGAGTGTTGCTGGGCCTGCACTCATCCAGGCAAGTGGGGAGTATTCCATCACACTCCTGACTTGTGCCTTGTAGATGGTGGGCAGGCTTTGAGGAATCAGGTGGTGAGTTACTCGCCGCAGTATTCGCAGCTTCTGGCCTGCTCTTCTAGCCACTCTGTTAATGTGGTGAGTCTAATTGAGTTTCTGGTCAATGGTAACCCCTAGGATGTTGATAGTGGGGGATTCAATGATGGTAACACCATTGAATGTCAAGGGGTGGTGGATAGATTGTCTCTTATTGGTGATGGTCATAGCCCGGCATTTGTGTGGCGCGAATGTCACGTAATGTTTATTAAACGCCGATTGTGCAAAAATAATACTTTACAAAATAGCTTGCATATTCAATTGTGAATAACCTCTAAAAACAAGTTTGGTTAATGTAAAATAAATATATGGAATCATCAAATTGCATGTTAGGCTTCTTCAATTAACTTCTAACTTTCCTTATGTTTAGCGAGTTTGTTTCGTAATTTTGTATTTAGTTTGAGAACTTCACGGTATTTCCTTTTAAATTATTTAACCTATTTTACGAATCAACCTTTTTAGAGGTGTTAGTACACCCCTCTCGCACAGGTTAGACTTGACCCCGCCAGTCTGGTCCAGCGATAGGGACACTCTTCCTGCATCCAAAGAGGACCCCACGCAGTGGTTCTTTTTCTAAAAAAAAAAGAAATTATCCAATTTTTCTCATGAACCTGTTCAGACATATTATTACAGACCTCTAGAGCAGGTACATGAAGCCGGGCTTCTTGGTTCAGGTGTAGGGACACTACCAATGCACCACAAGACGGCCCAACACAATAGTTTTTTAGAATGTCTTATTGCATCAAATTCAGCTGAATCTTGAATTCAATTGCATATTGATTAATTTCACAACGTTTACGCAACTGCCGTACAAACTGATACAATTAGTACATTTTTCAGTTTTGGTCCAACTCATCACACTAAGATGTCTTTAATGATTTCTCGTGAAAGCTCGTCTACCTCAAACGTTCGCTGCGATTCTACTTGCACAGATACTGAGCATTTTCAGCACTTTCTATGTTTGTCAGTAAATTCTCTTGTCTCATTAATACAAAGAAGGTCTCACATAATGCATCCTTTAAAAAAAAGAATGTTTAACATAATTTGAGTTGGTGAAAGAACTATGATTCTGACAAAATACATCGTAGACTCAAGACCTGCCATCATCGACTTGTTATAAAAATGTCGTTGTAATTCTTACGTAATTTAACAACCTACATACCGACTGTCAGTAAACCCATTTTCTGACAATATCTTCCTTCCAAAATAAGTTTTCTCAATAAGGGTAATTTGCAGCTTAAACAAAACTAATATTTTAAGACCTTCATTTTAATGATTTTTGTTATCAGGGCAGATGCATTACCAGAAATCCATTGAACTTCCTAGCCAAAATAAGAATTGCTGAAAATGAAATAAGCACTTGTGTTACCGAATAAGAGTTGTGAATAAGCTGCTATATCACTAGTTTTTTTTTTTACAAAAACATGAATAAAATATTCGTCCTTTCTAACTTGTACGTGATTGTTGGCGTTCTTTATTGGCACGTCCCAATTACATTTTATTGTCTACTCTCGGTCACAGGATGGTTAATACTAAGGAGCCTATAAACCAGGAACAAAACTAAAGTTTAAGTTTCGTTTTTTTCTCACTTCTAGACAAACTAATTCTACATTTTGATATCTAGTACTGAGATAATCACGTTTTAGTGTACGGATATCATTCTAAATAACAGAAATGCACTTCATTCCTTACCTGGCTTCTGTACTTCTTAAACGTATTGCACTTTTGAATATCCAGGTCCTAATTTTTCCATCTTGCAGCTCCGTCTCTCTAATGGTTCTCAAATCACACATACTTATTTCCAGTTGCACTGTCAACTCATCTGTTTATTATTATTATTGATTCATTCATTCATTCACAAGATGTCACTGCCACGAGTTAGCTCATCGTTTGTTGCTCTTTCCGCATTTCCCAGCAGACCGTTAAGATAGAATCACATGGAGGGCAGACCAGAACAGATGTGTATGGCAGATTTCATTCCTTTTATTACTAAAATGCAAATGGCAGCGTCCTGGAAGTTTGAAGAATTATACCTCAGATGCCTGTAAAACAGACTATCGGAAAACTTTGGCCTCCCTCAAAAATGATTGATAAGTCAGTGGTGCTGGCTGCTAACTTTATGAAATTAAATTCCTTGGCATTTAGGCATGAAACACTTCATTCCGTCAATAGCAAACGCCAGTATAATATAATAATGACAAAAAATGGGAGTAAAGTGTTTCTTAAAAAGATTAACCTGGGGTTATAGAGCGGCATTCATTATCACAAAAGAAGAATTGGAATTCTGCAGCGTACTTCATGGCCTCACGGTCCATTAACCAGCTTTTAGGTGAGAAACGTATCATTAAAATCAAGCCACTAATATAATTTGATGAAATGTGGTAATCAAAATAGTTCCCAGAAGCCGAAGGAAAAAGACGAAGTTAATCTATGTTGTTTTCATTGTATAGGTTGAGGGATGAACGACAACAAGGAGATCCCCTATTCTTTGAAAGAATGCCGTGGGAACATTTTGGACAAGGAGATTCCCGATTCTTTGAAAGAATGCCGTGGGAACATTTTGGACCACCTGGCAGGATAGGCAAGGAATTTAGTTTAAAATATGGTTCCTAAAACTGCACCTCCAAACAGGGAAGCATTCTTTCTGCACAGTACTGTGGTGCTAGCCTAGATTTTATGCTCAGGTTTATGGAATGCAATTTAAATCTACAACTTTCTAACTTCCCCTCTAAGATTTCCAAGTGTGTGATTGTGGAGAATTTCTGAACGTACTGCGTATCGTTTGACTCGTTCTTGGGACAAATAAAGATGGTTGTGGCTGTTGGACGGTTGAGTTACCTCACCTCTAGCACATCATTGCAGTAACTCTTCATTATGTTGCGCTAGAAGCGACGATCTTCAGCTTCTTCATCAATGACATTCCATCCATCACAAGGTCAGAAGTGTCAATGCTCACTGATGACTGTAAAATGCTCAGCTCCTTTGCAGTGCTTCAGACAGTGAAATAATCCATGCCCAAATACAACAAGACGTGGACAATTTCCAAGCTAGTGTGAACAAGCGGGCTGATGCTATAAAAGTACCAGATAATGGCAACAGAAACCTAGTAAACAGGAGCATGAATAGGCTATTCAAAAATTTTAGCCTGCGGTGCCATTCATTGTGATCGTGGGTGACTATCCAACTCAATATCGTGTTCCTGCTTTTCCCCCAATATCTTTGATCTTTAAACTGCAATTGTCAAATCGAATTTTTTCTTGACCACCAACAGAAAATCTAGTTATCACCCTTTCATGTACACTGGCTTTACCGTCGATGAATCCCTCACTGTCAATGTACTGGGGTTACCATTGACCAGAATTTAAAAAAGGCCAGCCATGTAAATATATTGGCGACAAGAACAGATCAAAGGATAGGGATCTTGAACTGAGTAACTCGCCTCCAGGCGCCCCAAACCGTGTCTACTATCTGCAAGACACGTGTCAGAAATGCATTGTAATGTTCCCCACTTGCCTGTCAGTTACAGTTCTAACATCACTAGAGAAGCTTGACGCCATCAAGGACAAAGCAGCTCGTTTCACTTCTTTACATTCGGAGGCATTCACTTTATATATCACTGATGCTCAGTGGCAGCCGGGTATACCGTCGAATAGATGCAGTGCAGAAATTTACCGACGTTCCTCGGACAGCTCCTTTTAAGCCTCAGACCATTTGCCTTTTTAAGGATAATGGCGATATTTGCATGGGAACACCAGAACCTGCAAGTTCGCCTCCAAGTCGTTCAACTTCCAGACTTGGAAATGCATCATTGTAACTTCAGTGACAAGGGGTTCAAATCATAGAGGTTCCTCTCCAATTCATTGCGGGGCTACCTACATCATAATGACTTCAAAAATTGACAAACTTAGTTCAGAACCTCATTCGGAAGGGTAATTAGATATAAGCAATAAAGGATTACCTTCCAGTGACGCCCGTGGCGCATCAAAAAATTAACAACCTGCTAGCACTATATTCCCTACGGGGAGTGAACTTTGGAGGTGTAAAATAAAATGTTAATAAATTGTGCTTTTTTTAATTCTCCCTGTGATGGGGTGTAAAGTTTTAGGAATGTTTTTGGAGCATCACTCATCCAGCCTAGTTGAGAGTATTTCACCGTGTTCTTCTCTTGTGCATTGTGGATGTTGGACGGGCTCTGGGGAGAATGTGGAATGAATTATTTGCTGCAGTATTCCCAGACCGTGAACTGCTCTTGGAACCAGTCGGGTTATGGTTTGATCACTTCATTTTCTACTTAATACTAAGATCCAGGTTGTTGATTGTGGAGTTGTTCAGTGATGGAATGCCATTCAAAGTTACTTGGTTTTATACTCTCCTGTTGGAAATGGTTGCTGCCTGGAGCTTGTGTTATGCAATCCTGCTTGCTTCTTATCAGCACAAGTCTTGAACTTGTCCAAGTCTTTCTGTGAATGGACATTCGATCTTGAATGGAATATTCTAAGGATTCTGTCATATAACCTTCCCATATTCACCAGAATCGCGACAGTTACGCTGTTCAGTGCTATTGCCGTCCATAAAGGAGCGTGTTCCCGCACGTTACTGGACAGAATTGTTATTTGCAACTCAGGGAAATTATCGTTAGTGTCAATGACATTGACCGCAACATTCACACGAGCTGACAATACAGGTGGAGCGGTGTTCACGGCTTGTATATCAAGTTCATAAGCAGATGTTTCTTCAAATTCCAAAACGTCTTCAACTCTGATCTCTCCAGTCACCGAGTCCAATTTTAATAACTCGCGGACATTTTGGGAAACGTAATTGTTGAAATAATATGTTACCTCATCGATATCAGTAGCATGAAGCTTTTAGTGCCAAAGAGCCATTCGCGATGTTTTTCAACACAGCGGTCATGTAGGTTTCACGATCGAATACGGGTGCGTTATCATTTGCGTCATGACACTATTATTGATCCGAGCTGTACCAGATCTGTGCGGAATCCCACCGTGAATGGCCGTCAATACCAGAGTAAACATTGACTGCTGCACACGGTCCAAAGACGTCTTTAACACCAACGCGGCACTTTCATTCCCATCTCTTCTTGTCTGCACTATAATACCAAAATGCTCGTTTGGACTGGTCTGGTACGTGTTGATTGTATTTGTACCTACATCCGGAACACGCGCTCTCGAGAGGGAAGAGAGCGCCGGCCGGATTGAACTCGCTGGTTTCCAAATAGTATTCCTTGTTCGAAAAAAAAAGGGTGAATTATCGTATACATCTAATATGTCCACTGCCACGCGGAACGTTTCCGAAGGATGGTCGAGAGCAATTTGGAAAGAAAGGGATCAAGCAGCGGTTTTGTTACAAAGTTGTTCTCCGTCAATTCTTTCATTAACACATTAAATTCCATTTTCCACATTAAAAACCATGTATTCTTTCGAATCATCAGAAACCAGCTGGAACTTGTGAGCCGTTAAATCCCAAATCTTTATTCTTAAATCTTCAGCAACATTCCAACAAAGGCCCCGCTCGCCTGCGCCTCGCGGATCGAGTAGAGAAGCTGCTCCCACACTAAGTCCGATGCACAGAACTAAGAATATGAAAAGCGGCTGTCTTATCACTGTTTCCGCCATTGCTCTCAACTGGATTTGTCGCAAAATATTGAAATGTCTTACAATATCTTGACTTGTTTCATATATTTCAAATATTAGTCAACAGCATACCCATATACTGTTATCGAAACGAGAAATGTAGAGATATAATCTGGGGAGCTATACAGAACATTTCCACCAACTGTTGGCGCACACACTGTTCACCTCTGGATTCTGCTGTTTCCCTGGCGGAGGGGGCAGTCGATCTCTCTCAGCGTTTCTGACGCTTATTGGTAAACAGTTGCACAAAGAGCCTCAACCAATAACCGCAGAAACATTGCTTAAAGCTAGGCTATTGGGAAGTCTTTTGTAAGGTGACAACCGTTATATTTTGGTTGGTCTTATAGAAATTACACGTTGTGCACAGATTTACACAAAAATGTGGTGCAGCAGACCCTGTGACTTTTGACAATTACATTGTTCATTTCAAATTACAATGACATCCACCAATTTAACTTCAGTAAGTTAGAGCGGCTGCTCCACTTTTAGAGAGCTTCCTTAAGGAGTTTAGAGTTGCTTTGAGACCGTCAGTGACGTTGGATAGCTTAGTCTTTGTCATGACACAAGCTGTTTGGAACGACGACATGTGAATCCAGAATCAGGCCTCATCGTTTATGGATATGAGTTAAAGCATTTAGGAATGAGATGAGGAGAAACTTCTTCATCCATAGAGCGGAAAGCCTGTTGAATTCCCATCTGAGAAAGCAGTTTAAGCCAAAAGAATGTGTGACTTCAAAAAGGAATTGAAAATAGCTCTTGTGTTTATAAGCATCAAACGATATGGGATGGGGGATGCAGGGTGCGGAAGCAGGAACAAGCTATTGAGTCGGCTGGTCAACCATGATCATGATGAATGGCACAACAGTTTCTAAGGGCCTAAGTGACTACTCCTGCTCTTCCTGTCTATGTTTCTAATTAACATATATTTCACCTGATAAAATCTGCAGCAAATTATTGCAGGATTTATTTTAAAATAAGCTTTTAAAAAAAAACATTCAAGTATATTTTATGATTATATCCTCTCTGATTAAAATTTATGCAATGTGTTGACTATTCTCGATGGTAAAACCTGATTTGCTGTTCCTGCCCGTTCACACACTTGCAGACCGATGCCCTTCAAAGTTTATTTGTCCAATTGTTATTCTACAATGCGAAAGACACGCCTTTGGTCATTTGCGAACTTTGACTAATTATTAAAAATTGCCCCAAATGATATACATGAACGCAAACATTGACCAAATATGATCCTGTTTATATTCCAAATAGAATTCATTTAAAAGTATCTTCCAATTCAACAGTTCAGAAATCGATCTATGATAACGCCGCATACCAAGATCGCATGTTCTTTTCGGTTTACATTTAGGTTTATAGTCACATGTACTCTCATGAATGCAGTGAAAAGTTCACAAAGCCGCCACTTACAGTGCCATATTAAGTACAGAATCTTAGAAATAAATTTGAAAAATAAAGAAACAAAGAGTTCAGCATTACAGTCCTTCAAGCAGATCACGCCAAGCCTGGGTCTTACCTCCAGGCTAGGCTCCGGGCCCGACTTCCAGATCCTGCCAGGACTTTGCCTCCAACTTGCATCTTCCAGTCTGCACTGGATCCTCGCCACCAATCCACACAGAACTCAAACATGTACTTCACAAGGATGCAAACCCACTCTGGGCACCAAGCTCTGCCGCAGACGATGAGCTGCTCTGGGCAGTATGCTCCACCGCATTCAATGCACCTCCAAGTTTCAAAGCCCAGATTCAAGGCGCACAAAGCCAGGAGTCCTCAATCTGAGCACCACCACCAGCGCTACCGATAGTCATCCAACACTGCTCCCAAGACATTAGAAGACGAGAGGAAAGAGAAAGAAAAGATGGAAAGAAGAGATAGAGAGAGAAAGAGAGAAAATTTTGCAGCCGGTCTCGAAAATATGGGCTCAGGACCGCTAACACGCTCTACCATGCCAGCACCATCATCTTGAAAATATTGTATTCACAGGTTAGTATGCTTCCTTTAATTACGAATTTGCTGCCAAATTTAGATACTTTGTATCATTTCAAAAGGATTGATCAGATCACGTCTTAATTTGAGACCAGTTCAAAGATCCAGCGTCAATTGCAAATGATTATACGACCATTATAATCAATACTCAGAGACATCGTTACTGAATACTCCAAATTGTTGTAAATACTATCCACGTTTTCAATACAAAATGGTGATATATTGTAATGTATACGTTATAATATATTATATATGACTGCACAAGAATTCTGTGCATGTTTAAGTAAAATATGACGAACTTTGGAAAAGAATTTATCTCTGGATTTATTCAAAATGGGTGAAGAGAATTCGGTGCCGCATGTTCCGCAAAGTTTGCATTTCCTTCCAGTGATAATTGAGGATCATCAAACTGAGGCCAGCGCAAGAAGACAGTAAGAATTTTAATAGTCTCTAATTGCAGGGTTATCTCCACATTCACAGTTCATGTTTTTATTTACCAGTTACCTTCTGTTCTAAATGTTCTATGTGCTATACCACCATACTTTACAATATTTGAACTCTGTGGCTTTCTGAAGAGGTGAAATTGAAATTTCTCCGTTCTCTTTGTCATAAATCCATTCTTCAAAAAGACACGCAGTACATCCTGCCTTTGGGGTCATTCTGCACATGCTTTTTTGCAACATATATGTGTCAAAACATGACGTGGTGTTGTGATAAATATCATCAAAACAAACTGAGTTGTAATTAGAATATAATGTAGCATCAATAAAAACAAACTCATAAGGATTCGAATGCACCCTATGAATGGGCAACGCCAAGTGAGATTATCGGGTTTGCACTTTACCTCCAAAAATACAAGATCAATGTTTCTTATTGCAGCTGTCATCCGCTGTAGTAAAGAGTTTAATCAATTATTCTTTCATGATTACATGGTCTGATCACCAATGCCCAAAATAAGCCTGAATAAAAAGGTGATACCGAGTTTATTTATTAATATTTAATAGAGACATTAGGAACATTTAATTACAAATTGCAAATTTAGTGTAACATGTCAAAATAATAATAAGAATTGCTGAAAAAAAACCTTCCATGCGCCAAAGGATGCTCAGAACACGTATGTTCAAACTGTTGCAGTTTCCAAGGCATCCTGAATATAATTTAAAATGTTAAATTTGAAGTTTTCTTTGATAATCTCTGTTTTGTCAAAGCTAAGCAAATTTACTTAAACTTTTTTTTTGTCTGAAAGTATCGGCAAGTATGATATTCCAGTGCACCTACTGGATTGTTGCGAACGAAAAGAAATTTGAGCATTACTGAAAACACGCATTTTGTTCAATCTTATTTTCCGCAAGATTTCATTTAAAATTTGTAAGAGGCAGGTACAATCTGAATGGTCCAAGTGCTGCAGTGAGAAAAGAACTAGCTAATTAGTGGCTATCATAGGCTTGGTGTTTACATGCATCCTTACGGCCTGGAAAAGAAATGATCTGATGGGTGGGTGTGTATTTGTGTGTTTGCGTGTGTATGTATGTGTCTGTGTGTGTGTGTGTGTGTGTGTGTGTGTGTGTGTGTGTGTGTGTGTGTGCGTGTGTTTGAAGAGATTTTACTTCTGAGTTAGAGTAATACCTGGTTAAAAAATATATATCAATGATTCATCATGTTGACCTGCGGGTAGAATCTATTTATTTGTAAAAATAATAATTCTTATGTTTTCTCCTGTTTCCTCCTGCTCTGTCAACCTGGGTCTATAAAGCAGATTAATTAGGGATATCTTTAATTTTTGTCATGATTCGACCGAACAGGGGAGCTTGAATTCCTGTGAGCAGCCCCAGTGAAATATAACCGACTTTGTGGGATATTGTCTAGGATTTATTTCAGACAATGATCACAAGAATTTGGGCGTGTTGTTACTAAATAAAGCAAACAAAGGAAAATGCCTGTTTCTGTATTACATTTAAGACATAAGACAGGAAATGGTAAAGGATTTCCTGCAGGTGGCAGGGTTGCCCATGACAGTCTCAAGGAAACTTTCAAAGACCAAGTTGATTGACTTGGTAAGTAACCCAGTGGCAATATTACCTGACAGAGCTAAGAAGACAGATAAACTATAGTATGCTTGTCACTTGGAAATATTGGAAATACTCGACAGACCAGGCGCTCCAGCGAATGGAACAATGGAACAAAGTCACACTCAGTTACAGTTAAAGCAGTATGATCCTTCAGAGTGAAAGACGGAACTAGAGATAGCTGACAAAGATAAGGAAATGGAGGTAACATTGGAAATGAAAGGGGAGGAAATGGAAATGAAAAGTATGTAAATAAGCAAACTAGAACTGGAATTGCAAAGGGGAAGTGGAGAGAGAGAACATGAGTATAAGGTTAAAGCGTTGTTGCTGAAACATCAGACATCAAATACTGATGTTGTTCCTGGTAGGAGAATGCACAGGTCTTACCAAAATTTGACGAAAGAAGGTATGGAAGATTCAGTATGGGGTTTGAGGAAATAACTACACAAATGAATTTGGACAAAAGGAAACTGGACACTGCTCATTCAGTGTCAGTTGACAAATAATATACAAGCATTTTTCACTTCACTGCCTGAAGAGATTTTTCCAAATTGTGACGCTATAAAATTGTGTGTGTGTGTGTGTATGTGTGTGTGTTTACCATCAAATCAATGCATGAGGCATTTAAGCAAAGGGTCAGGAATTTAAGTAAAAATCCTGAGTGCACCAATAATGAGTTTGAAATAGTTAAGCAAAGTAATTGTTACTTGTGGATACGAAAATTGGACGTTAAAACCAAGCTCATTCTCTTAGAGGGATTAAAAAGCTCACGACCTTCTCAAATAAGGAGCCATGTTGAGAACCAAAGATTTACATCGGCTAGACAGGCAGCAGTAATGACTACAATTATGAAAGAATCCATAAAATTAAACAATTTTCTGTCCTACTGATAAATTCGATAGACATTGGGAAAGTGGAAGGAAGTCGACATTCCAGGGTAAAGAATGAACAGTTGGCAATGCCTCATGGTCTCTTCCTCAGACCAGGAGGAAAAGTAATAAGAATAAAGGTGAAGACCAGAACCCAAGATGATTCCATTGCAAAACATTAGGACACGTTCAATGAAAACGGCGAAAATGGTGAGGGAAATACATGGAAACGACTGGAGTTTGTAAGAATGATTCCGAAAAGGAAACAAGTGGAAAAGGCTACAGAAAAAAATTGTAGTTAAACAGCAATTAATAGAATGGAAGTAATCATTGCTGTGACTGTAAATAATGTGCATAAGATAGAGTAGACACAAGATGTATTTTTGACTAAAGGAGAGAAAGTTATCTTTCTCTTTAAAGCAAGGCTGTAACAAGACACCGATCAAAATCTCTTGCACGTCAAGGATTTAATTTTCCTAAAGGAGAGTTGAATGAAAGTGGAAGTGTTAGCAAATGGATTATGTGGAGAGTTTATCCAGGTTCCATGATCCAACGTCCAGTTGGATTGTGGTTTGTTGTGTGGATTGGTGGTAATCGAGGTAGTTATGAAATTACTTGTAAACAAAGTTTATCTACTCCCGTAGAATGATTTAGCAAAGAGTGAAAGTCGCAGCTTTGCTTACAGTCGTGGAAATTGAGTTCATGGTAGAGAGATGGAACGGGTGCAGAAACAGGTTCCAGGCATTTTTCACCGTGTACAGTGAGCGGATAAATGGCTGAAAATGTTCATTTCCAGAGGCTGCTGTAATACTGTGAACAAATGTTAGGGCTGCTGAAACCCTGTTTCAGGTAAAGAATAATTAAAAGATGTGTTTAACATGTCCCCATTAATCGAGGCTCAAGAAGCAGATCCAACATTAAATACGTTTCCACAGACAGATCACACAAAAGCTAAGGATGAAGGGATTCCAATGTGTTAATATTGAAAATAGAATACCCTCGAGGAACAGAGACTCACAGAATTGAAGACCAGGAATTGACGGTTGCTCATCAAACAGAAATACAATCCAGGTATCATGAAAAAATATTGTGGGTGACACACGAATTTCCTGTGGCAGAGTACATAGCAACACGGAAAACACAAGCACTGATAAACTCATATTTTACATGGCCGAGACTTAATAAAGATGCCGTTCAGTTCCATAAAAAGTGTCAGAAGTCACACGACACCAGGTTATAATCCAGGAGGTTGTGGCAGTGCTGCAAAAGCTTATGATATTTTTAAAAAATAACCTGTTTAACTATAACCTGGTGTCGTGTGACTTCTCACTTTGTCCCTTCCAGTCCAACACCAGCATCTCCATATCATAAAACATATCCCTGTGAGGTGGTAGGAAGTCATTGACAGGTAATCAAACTAGCAACTTTGATACCCATAACCGTTTTTGAAGAATCATACGAACGACTCTTATTTATGGAAGAACATTACTAAAAACAAAATAAGGTATCAGTGTATCGTTACAATCATGTATATGAGAGCTCAATTCCCAAAAGCTGTTCCTTCAGAGATAATTGCAGCCGGGAAAAACGTTAACTTAGTTTCTTTTTACTCATTGTTGGCTATCGATTCATAACGATTCTAACATAATGTTTAAAATACACCAGGAAGTATTTAGCAGTTTGGGTACAAAACAGTTGAATTCTGTTGTGCGTCGAGTGAAAACACTGTTAACTTTGGAGAGCTACTAAAAACCTTGTTTAAACAGTACAGTGGCAAATACCCACTGGTTTGGAACAAAAGG